GGGGGTGTGGCCTAATGCGCTAATGAGCTGTGCTGTCAGGGGTGTGGACTAATATGCTAATTAGTTCCTGCTGTTGGGTGTGGCCTATTATGCTAATGAGTTCCTGCTGGGCTTTTTCTACAAAAAGAGCCCTGATTAGTTATTATAATTATTATATTATAACTATTATTTGCTTAAAATGTTTGTATCCTCCTATTCTACACACAATGCCATATGATAAGTATAATAATTATAGTTATTATAATTATTATATTATAACTATTATTTGCTTAAAATGTTTGTTTTCCTCCTTTTGAATGCTGCAGTTGCATTTATTCATTTATATCCCACTTCTCTCTCCAGCTGGGATTCATTTTTCCCCCCTCCTCTTTTCTCTCTTGTGGGCTGAGATTTTATGATGGGCCCAAGGTCACCCAGTGAGCTTCCATGGTTGAAGCAGGGATGCAAACGTGGATCTCTCAGGATCATAGTCCAACATTTTATCTGCTATGCCATGGCAGCTCTCAAGGATGTCCAAGAAAGCTAAGAATTCATAAAGAACACAGTAAAAAAAAATAAAATGAAAATCAGCACAGTGTAGTGGTTAGAGTGTTGAACTAACATTTGGGAGGCCCAGGTTTCATACCTTTCTCTGCCAGGGAAGCTTAGTTGGTAACCTTGGGCCAGTCGTACACTCTCAGCCTAACCTACTTCACAGGGTTGTTTTGAAGATAAAATGGATGAGAAAAGAATGATGTAAGCTGCTTAGGTCCCCACTGGGGAGAAAGGTGGGATGTCAAAGAAGTAAATAAATACATTTTGAAAAATACAAAATATGATCAGTAAATCCATATCAGATAACAACGATTTAAAAATGCAAATAATACACAGCAGGGAAAAAATAAGCAGGATGCTTCTTAATCCAGACGTCCTCAAAAGCTCCATGGAAAAAGTGTTCATGTGGTTGAGTCCCATTAAACAGGTGTCCAGCAATGATTAATCTGCTACTGCACTCTAAGGTTTTTGGCATTGCTATTAATAATTTTCTGAATGAATATTAGGGACTGACTGACCCATTAAACTAGCTCAGACGCTGCTTAGGTTAGGACCGAGATAACAAAGAGTGTAGGCTTGCCTGTGTCTCCTCCAGAGCCCACTGATTGGGGGAAGCACACTGCGCCTGACTGCAGAAGCCGTTTGGCCCAGACCTGGAGAGTGGCAACACGGGACGGTGCAATGAATAAGCCATTTCATGTCATCACCGCTATTAGCCAGGTCTGAGTTGAAAAACCCTGTGAAGTAGGGATTGGGATTTAGCTTGATTGCCCTTGACTTCAGCAGGCCTTCCAGGAAACTGGCCTATTTCCAGTAAGTTAGAACCAATGTTCCCTCTAAGCTGTGGAATCTTGTGAGCAGAAATTCTACTTTGTGAGCTACTGGCATTAAAGTTGTGAGCAAGCGACTTGGCTACTGTATAAATTAGTTTGCTCTGGAGCCCACCCTTCCTGAGCTAAAACAAAAATCTGTGAGCTGGAGGCTAAAAAACTGTGAGCTAGCTCACACTAACTCAGCTTAGAGGGAACACTGGTTAGAACCAACAATCCCTGATGCATACCTCACTTTGTAAGCAACTTTGAACAGCCTTTGTGGAGAGCTGGCTTTGAAATAATCCAAAAACTAGGTGCTGAGGTCAGCATTTCCCTTTTCCCATGACAGTCTTTTTGTGGTAGGACTGATCTACAGATTGAAACATATTTCCATATGTGAATCATTGGCAGTTCTGCTTTACGAAAATAGTTTTCCTGCTTTTATTACAAGCCATGCTATACTGTTAGCTGTCATTAAATCCCTTGTGACTGGTACAAATTTAACATTTTAAATAGTAGATTACTAGCCATCACAGTTCCAGAGGAAAGCCTAAAAATATTGTCAAGGGTTTATAATGCAAGAGATATGTACTTCACCATAGTAATATTATTAAAACAATATATTTTTTGAACTTTCATGCCCTCAAAAGTATTAAGATGGTCTTTTGAACATGTCAATACTGTTCTTGAAGGCTTTTGGAAAAGAAAAAAGAAAAACATTTTGTTGTCCAGATTTGTGTAAACCTAGTTCTAGTACTGCAGTTTTGTGCAATAACTTTCTTTTGAGTAGATATTCATAGGTTCCTGTTGTAACTGCCATTTGTGAACTTTGCCTTCAAAACTGATAAGTAATAAACTCAAATTTAATAGTTTGGTGAAAACCTGTGAGGAGGTTTATCCAGGGTCTCTGATATGATAAACCTTTCCCAGAATAAAAGCATTTAATTTATGGTTCCAAAACACTTCAATCCCCACTGAAGCTGATACGTGTGAATAAAAGGGGTGTTCCCCACATCCCAGGTTTTGGATGATTGTTTAGTTTCAAAAGAAGCCAGCTTAGATTAATCTCAAGGAAACTAAATACCACTTCAGAAAATCCAAACAAAACAACCCTCCAGGGTTAATGTATGTTTTCCCATCATTAAATGAATGAATCAATGATAAAACAAAAATTCTCATTTGCCCCAATATTAGGTTATAGCTCCTCTTACACCAATTTAATTTGCATATATGTAAAGTAGACCATCCACAATGTTAATGACACCAACGTTGGACATGTGGTAAATTTGTAATAAACCAGGGCCACTTATTTGCAATTTCTAACCTAAAATTCTTAGCTCAGCAGTGCCTCTTATTATATAAACATAACTTACATCTGTATTTATTTAGCTATACTTTTTATGGAGGCCATGAGCCATTTTATGCTATTATCCATGCTATAGATATTATTCCATCCCTGCCAACAATTTAATTTAATAAACAAACCACTATCATAACTTTTGCCTGATTTTACTGAAAACTGTGCAAATTGTTATTTTATTAATTAGTGAGAAGAAAAGGCACACCAAATTGATTTTTCCATTCATCTGAGATACTCTAGGATCCCCCCCTTCCCACAAAAAACACTGCTTTTTGTCCCTGCAGAAGGATAGTCAATGATTCTCCCTCTCCCTCAAAAAGTCCTCATGAATACCTACCAATTATTAGGATATCACTGAATTCATTACATTGGAAATATTCCTGTTCTTATATGTATTTATTTACTTCATTTATACCCC